CTGCAGCAGCTGAAAACTCAGGATGATTCCTGCAATGATCTCAGTGTTCCTGCCTCCATCCTCCTAATTCCTTCTTGCCTCCAACTTGCATCAGGAGAATTCAAGGCACCACTGCAATATTCAGCTAAGTTAATATTAATGGTAAGAGGAAGGAATTTTCTAAAGTAACATATTAAGTTGCAAAAGAAAGCTAAAACCAGCTGCTTTCTCCCCACATGTTAAGGCTGCCCTCCACTGCTCTGGAACATATTTGAAGCCCAGAGCTTCAAATGTAAATATGGATCAAATGTTAAGTCAAGTGTTAAATAGCAACAGCTGATTAGAATTTACAATTAAAAAAAAAGAAGTTGGTTAAAACCAAAAAATAAACACACAAAAAAAATGCAAATAGCAGCAAATCTACACAGTGAAACCCCTTATCTTCAAATCCAGGAACGTGTACACTGAGACTTCCTTAAGACAAGATTTTCAATTAAGCCTCTCAAGCACATTAAGTAACACCTCTCATCTCCATAAATGCAGGGCAGGTCTAATCACAATTCACACCCAACCCCAAGTGCTAATTAGCCCAGCTGACAGTTGGAAGCTCAGGTAAGTGCTCAGGTGGCAGCAGCAGGAAGCTTCACCACACCACATGGAATCATGGAATCATGGAATCCCAGACTGCTTTGGGTTGGAAGGGACCTTAAAGCTCATCCCATTCCACCCCCTGCCAGGGGCAGGGACACCTTCCACCAGCCCAGGTGGCTCCAAGCTCTGTCCAACCTGGCCTTGGACACTTCCAGGGATGGGGCAGCCACAGCTTCTCTGGGCAACAGTTCCCCCCATGTCAAATGTACAGGTGAATACCAAGACAACCTGAAAACAAATCAAAACCTCACTTCATTATTCAGTTCATTTTTTGGTGCAAGAAATTAGGAGAAAACATTCTAAACCCTCACAGCAAAGCACCATCTGCACACAGTCCTTCGTCAGGCACTGAGAAGGAACACCCAAACAATTTATACCCAGAGTGCAAAGGAGAAAATACAAAAGCTTAAAAAAAAAGGAGAGAAAACAAGGGGGAAAAAAAGAGAGAAAACAAGAGGGGGAAAAAGAGAGAAAACAAGGGGGGGAAAAAGAGAGAAAACAAGGGGGGGAAAAAAGAGAAAACAAGGGGGGGGAAAAGAGAGAAAACAAGGGGGGGAAAAGAGAGAAAACAAGGGGGGGGAAAAGAGAGAAAACAAGGGGCAAACAAGGAAAGAGAGAAAAAGGGAAAAAAAGATGGGAAGGGGAGGAAAGGGGGGGAAAGGGGAGAAAGGGGGAGAAAGAGAAAAGAGAAGAAAGAGAAGAAAGAGAAGAAAGAGAAGAAAGAGAAGAAAGAGAAGAAAGAGAAGAAAGAGAAGAAAGAGAAGAAAGAGAAGAAAGAGAAGAAAGAGAAGAAAGAGAAGAAAGAGAAAGGAAAAAAAAAACGAAGAAGGAAAAAGAGACAAACAGCAGGAAGAAAGTAAAGAGAAGACAGACCAGTTGAGAGAAAGAGCAGAAAGAGAAGAAAGAGAGAAAAGAAGAAGAAAGAGAAGAGAAAGAAAGGGGAAGAAGGGGGAAGGAAGAAAAAGAAAACAAGAAAGAAAAAGAAAGAGAAGAAAAAGAAAAAGAAAATGAAAGAGAATAAGAAAGAAAGAGAAAAGGAAATGAAAGAAAGAAAAAGAAACAGAAAAAGAAAGAAAAAAAAAAAGAAAGAGAAAGAAAAAAAAAGAGAAAAAAGAAAAAAGAAAAAGAAAGAGAAAAAGAAAGAAAAAAAAAGAAAAAGAAAAAGAGAAAAAGAAAGAAA